TCTCTCTCTCTCTCTCTCTCTCTCTCTCTCTCTCTCTCTCTCTCTCTGTCTCTCATCAGCTGTATAGTTTCGTGCTGTCTTGTCCTTTATGTGCTTACTACTTTTTCTTCTAGAGCTTTCAGGTGTGCTGTTACCTTACTAGCATGAGATCTCTCCAGTTATTTGTGTGACACTTAGTGTCATGAACTATCCTCTGATTATGACTTGTTTCCTATAAGTTTGTTTTTGGTGTGTCTTCCATTTGATTGAATTGTAGAAAGTCTTTAATTTCTTTATTTCTCTCTTGACTTGTTCTTTCTTTTTTCTTTTTGGTTTTTCGAGACAAGGTTTCTCTGTGTAGCCCTGGCTGTCCTGGAACTCACTCTGTAGACCAGGCTGGTCTCAAACTCAGAAATCCACCTGCCTCTGCCTCCCAAGTGCTGGGATTAAAGGCATGCACCATTGATTTTTTTTTTTTTTAATATATAGTAGAAAGCTTCAACGGGTCTGTAAGCCACCTTTGGTTGTTTCTATTATTGATGTGCAGCTTTTATCATGACTGGCTGATAATGCAGGGTGGTTATTCAGATTTTCTGGTATCTATTGAGACTTGTTTTGTATTCAATGATTTGGTCAGTTTGAAGGTGCTGAGAAAAAAACGTATATTCTTTTGTTTTTGGATGGGATGTTCTGTAAATATCTGGGAGGTTTCTTTGTTTTTTCACATCAGTCAGCTGTAGCATTTCTCTGATTACTTTTAGTCTGGAGGGCCTGTCCTTTGGTGGTCATGAGATATTGAAATCTCCCATTATCAATACATGAGGGTCAATGCGTGTTTCTAACTATGGTGCTCGTATGTTTTGGACATACATATAAGTATTGAAACATCCTCCTTTTGGATTTTTTTTTCTTGATGAACATGTAATGTCCTGCATTGCTTTAAATTAATTTTCATTTGATGTCTATTTTGTCAGATGGTAAAATAGCTATACCAGCTAAGTCCACTTCAATGGGATATTCTTTTGCATCTCATTACCCATAGATGCTTCAATAGATCCTGACCCTGCCCTTCTCTGGGAAGTTGTTGGTATCACAGATGTTTGCTCTTCTGTCCAGTGTGAGTCAGGCCAGCATGAGCCCCTCCTCAGAGGAATCTAGCCTCATGCCTAGCTAGGAAACTGTCCAGTCTGAGAAGCTGGCTTGTATTGAAGGGCCACTTCTTTTTGACTCAGCAGGGATTTCTTAAAAGAACTGCCCCTGCATTTCCTCTCTCTTTTTCTTTTTTTCACTATAGCTGGTTTTGGATCGGCTGAACCTTTGAAGATCTATTCAAGGAGCCTGAAAAACTTAGTCAGAAAAGTTGATATACTAAGGGAGTTCTTGCCACTGATTGTTATGCCAAATATTTTTTGGCTTTTTAGTAATCCTGTAGTTTTGCTCAATATAACTATCTCATGAATAATTTAAACTGGAGTATTTATTTTTATTTGAGTGTGCAATAAATAAACTATATTCCTTTATTTTCATCCTCTAAGCTAATCTGGCTTCTTCCTAGTCAAAATCCTAGTGATGCTTGCATTTTAGTACTGATCTGACTCTCTAGGCTTGAAGTGTTTTCTCACGAGGTCTTATGGACCCTCCTTATACTGAATCCCCACTCCCATTTTCTTTCCCCATGCCATGGCTGAGAGGAAGTTCTGCTTATTCTCTCACCTACTCAGTCTGGCTTATTGGCTTTTATTGACAAATCAGAGAATAAATGTGGAGCAATACTTATAAAACATTGAGTCAGGAGATGCTTAAATAATGATTACAACCAGAAATGGAAGCACAGAACTCAGTGTTTAAATAACACAATGATAGCCTTAGTATAGTGCATAATAACGTTATGGCTAAATTTTTGTTAGCTTAATATTTTTCTATTTTTAGTTTTGTTCTTTTTGTGTTTGTTTTAGAAGACAATGGCTGTCTCTATAGCTTTGGCTGTCCTGCAAGTAGAGTGGACACCTACAAGCCTCCAAATTAGAGATCCATCTGAGTCTTTCTCCAAAGTAATATGATTGTTTACATGTGAGCCAACATACCTTGATTTTTTTGGTTGTTGTTTTTGTTTTTGTATTATTGGCTGATGTTGTTTTATATTATCGGCTGACAATATAGGTTTTTTTGTATATGTCAAGCATACGCTGTTAGGCTGAGCTTCACCCATATCTTGCATTTTTAAATTTGACAGAGAATATCACTCTGTTTTCCAGGAAGTCATGTACTGATAACAGTGATGCTGCCTAATCCTGCTGAGTCATTGGATTGTAGGTCATGGCAGACTTCCTACTTGTTGTGTTGGTTTTGAATTTATGTTGGAATAAATATGAGTATTTTGCTTGTGTGCATGAATTTGCATCTCATGTGTGCCTGGTCCTTCAACATCAATCTAAATGGAGAGAACCTTAAAGCAATTCCACTAAAATCAGGTACAAGACAAGGCTGCCCACTCTCTCCCTATGTATTCAATATAAACATTTAAATTATAGCAAAAGCAATAAAACAACTAAAGGAGATCAAGGGAATACAAATTGGAAAGGAAGAAGTCAAAGTATTGCTATTTGTTGACGATAAGATACTATACATAAGTGACTCCCAAAATTCTACCAGAGAATTCCTGCAATTGATACCCTTATTCAAATGATAATTGGGCTGAGAAGTAATAAGGGAAACAACATTCTTTACAATAGCCACGAATTATATAACATATTTTGGTATAACTCTAACCAAGCAAGTGAATGATCTGTACGAAAAAACTTCAAATCCTGAAGAAAGAAATTGGAGATTTAAAAAGATGGAAAGATCTTCCATATTCATATATAGATAGTATTCCCATAGCAAAAAAAAAACCATCTGACAAATAGTTCTTTACTTTTTGTAGTTAGTAATTATTCATACAATATCTATGATGTGTGCTTAGTACTGTTGATCTGATTGCTTGTTTCTTTATATCTGTTAATTGGTCTTCTTCTTGCAAATGTATGTCCTATTCAAAAGATAAAGAAATGAGCGATGTGAACCGTTTAATTCACTTTCCTTCTAAATTGGCTTTGTGATTACATTATAACTTCTGTGTCAGGAAGTAACTGGAGGAAAAGTGGGAATCATTTAAATACATTGTCAATATGTTGACTATGTGAGCACCATGCTTTCTTTTATACGCATGTACGGGATGTTTTAGGATGCAGTGACATATGAGGATGTGACTGTAAACTTTACTCGGGAAGAATGGGCTTTGCTGGATCCTTCCCAGAGGAAGCTCTACAAAGATGTGATGTTGGAGACCTTCAGGAACGTTACTGCTATAGGTAAGACTGTTAATGTTGTTTTCCTTTTTAAAATCAGAAGGCAGCTGGTTTTTTGGTTTGTATGCTTGTTCGTTTGTTTGTCTTTTTGCTTGATTCTTTTGTTGTTGATGATGCTCTTCTATAATTTCAGTTGAGGAGAAAGAAGAATGAAGCGAATGAATCAGACAGAGTTGTAAGGTTCGCTGAAGAGAGTACCTTAAATTTTGCCTAAATTCCAATAATATATCATACATTTTCTGGTACTATGTTTCAGGTTATTATTGGGAAGACCACAGTTATGAAAAGAATTCTCAAAATTCTAGAAGACATGGAAGGTAATTTTTATTTACGTGGTGATCCAAATATGCCTCTGAAGAAATCTTCATGTGTTCTTGATGTTTTAGTTAAAAGCAACAGTGTAAGTAAGCAGAGCTTTAAGGATATTGAGTATTTAATTCTAACAAATGCATGTACCTCTATGCCAGGTATTCTATTTCCGTTTCCAGTGCACTCTTCAGTGTAGAATACATGGAAACAGTGCCTTAACCGATAGTACTATTTGAAGCACAGCCCCATTGACACTAAAATGCAGATCTGCCAGTCTGTTTAATCTTAATACCTGTAAATATTACAAAAAGTATACACATTGAATGTATGATGTGTATATTTCCAAGCCCTTCCCACAAGCAAACAGTGCACAATTAAGAAGCTGTTACTCACGTACGTGTAGGAAGATGGGTATGTTTCATGATAGTGGAAGTTTATAGGGGTTGAGAAATTTGCATAGAAAACTTAATGTGAATACCACACATGTCTCTGGAGCACAAAAATTCAAACTGTGTGAATGCAATATGGATACCTTTTATTTGTTATTCTACCTTTAATAGGTATATTGTAAGGCACACACATCTCTGTCCATCTATCTGTATGTCTGTCTCTCTATCTTTATTTTATATAGAGGATGCAGGTCTCAATTATTTAAAGATATTGACAGAAACCCTGTACTTCTCCCTCTCTCTCCCAGAACATTTAGAGGATGTGTTGTTATTCCCACTTTGAGGAGATTTGTTGAACTTGATATAATTTTACAGTTAATTGATTTTCCTATTTCATTGGGAATAAATCAACAAACTCAAACTGCAGAAAATTCTTGAGAGTATAGTTATGTAGACATTGTCTTTTTTTCCTGGTTCACTTTGCAAATGTTATGTGGTTTACTCTATAGGAAAATTTATTAATGCAGTCATTTGTTGTTGTTGTTGTTTTGTTTTTGTGTTCTTGTTTTTTGAGACAGGGTTTCTCTGTATAACCCTAGCTGTCCTGGAACTCACTCTGTAGACTAGGCTGGTCTCAAACTCAGAAATCCGCCTGCCTCTGCCTTCAAAGTGCTGGGATTAAAGGTGTCCGCCACCACTGCCCAGCTGCAGTCATTGTTTAAAAGCTGTGAGTTCTTTCACATTTTCTTAAATATGTTTTTTAAAACCATATGAGAGAAGATTGCTATGAATGTGAGCCATGAAATAAATGCTGTTACAATCACAGGTATCTTTAAAGATGTAATGGAACCCATAATGAAGGAGAACACCATGGACATAAACAAAATGATGAAACCCTGTTATATCTGATTTCTCATTACATTTGGAAAACACTGTAAAAGTAATTCATACATATAAAAATATTCAGGAATATAATACATGGGGTAAAACTTCCAAAAGTGCCAATCGCATACACAGGCATGAAAAAATTTATACTGTAGAGAAAATTTCTAAATATATGCAAAGTGATAAAGATTTTGTCTGCCACAGGCGTCTTCAAAGGGAATCAAGAATTCACACTGGAGAGAAAACCTATAAACGTGTGCAGTGTAATGAAGTGCTTTCAAGTCATAGTCATCCTCAGATACATAAAAGAATGCTTACTGGAGCCTTTGTATATGATAGTGGTCTTCAAATGCATAGGAGAACACACACAGGAGAGAAATCCTATGATTCTAATACACGTAGTAAAGCCTTTGCATGCCACAGCCATCTGCAAAGTCCTAAAATAGCACATACTGGAGAGAAGCCCTATGAATGTGTACAATGTGGTAAAGCCTTTGCATGGCACAGTGCTCTTCAAAGGCATAAAAGAATACATACTGGAGAGAAGCCCTATGAATGTAAACAATGTGGTAAAGCCCTTTCATGTCACAGTGCTCTTCAAAGGCATAAAAGAATACATACTGGAGAGAAGCCCTATGAATGTAAACAATGTGGTAAAGCCTTTACACAGATCAGTAATCTTCAGAGTCATAAAAGAACACATACTGGAGAGAAGCCCTATGAATGTAAACAATGTGGTACAGCCTTTGCTTATCACACTTCTCTTCAAAGGCATAAAAGAATACATACTGGAGAGAAGGCCTATGAATGTAAACAATGTGGTAAAGCCTTTGTTTCTCACATCCATCTTCAGATTCATAAAGAAACACATACTGGAGAGAAGCCCTATGAATGTAAACAGTGTGGTAAAGCCCTTTCATGTCACAGTGCTCTTCAAAGGCATAAAAGACTACATACTGGAGAGAAGCCCTATGAATGTAAACAATGTGGTAAGGCCTTTGCAGATAACAGTGTTCTTCAGAGTCATAAAAGAACACATACTGGAGAGAAACCATATGAATGTAAACAATGTGGTAAAGCCTTTACACAGAACTTCCATCTTCAGATTCATAAAAGAACACATACTGGAGAGAAGCCCTATGAGTGTAAACAATGTGGTAAAGCCTTTGCACAGAAATTTCATCTTCAGATTCATAAAAGAGCTCATACTGGAGAGAAGCCCTATGAATGTAAACAATGTGGTAAAGCCTTTGCACAGAACAGTCATCTTAAAGTACATAAAAGAACACATACTGGAGAGAAGCCCTATGAATGTAAACAATGTGGTAAAACCTTTGCACAGAAATTTCATCTTCAGAGTCATAAAAGAACACATACTGGAGAGAAGCCCTATGAATGTAAACAATGTGGTAAAGCCTTTGCACAGAACAGAAGTCTTCAAATACATAAAAGAACACATACTGGAGAGAAGCCCTATGAATGTAAACAATGTGGTAAAGCTTTTGGTTGTCAAAGTCATCTTCGAATGCATAAAAGAACACATACTGGAGAGGAGCCCTATGAATGTAAACAATGTGGTAAAGCCTTTGCACAGAACAGTCATCTTCAAAGGCATAAAAGAACACATACTGGAGAGAAGCCCTATGAGTGTAAACAATGTGGTAAAGCCTTTGCACAGAACCGTAGTCTTCAAATACATAAAAGTACACATACTGGAGAGAAGCCCTATGATTGTAACCAATGTGGTAAAGCTTTTTCTTGTCACAGCCGTCTTCAAATGCATAAAAGACTACATACTGGAGAGAAGCCCTATGAATGTAAACAATGTGGTAAAGCCTTTGCACAGAACAGAAGTCTTCAAATACATAAAAGAACACATACTGGAGAGAAGCCATATGAATGTGACCAATGTGGTAAAGCCTTTGCATGGAATAGTCATCTTCAAAGGCATAAAAGAACACATACTGGAGAAAAGCCCTATGAATGTGACCAATGTGGTAAAGCCTTTGCACGGAACAGTCATCTTCAAAGGCATAAAAGAACACATACCCTATGAATGTAAACAATGTGGTAAAGCCTTTGTCCATCACAGTACTCTTCAAAGGCATAAAAGAACACATACTAGAGGGAAGCCCTATGAATATAACCAGTGTAGTAAAGCCTTTACACATAAAAGTAATATTCAGAGTTATTAAAGAACACATTCTGGAGAGAAGTCTGTAAAGACTTCACATACCACTATCATCTTCAAAGGCATAAAAGATCACATACATGGAGAAAACCCTGTGAATATAACTAATGTAGTAAATCCTTGGCACATTTGAGGTTCTTTAAAGGCATGAAAAACACAAATTGGAGTGAACCCCTTTGAAGGTATTCAACTTGATTAAACCTGTGCATATTGGCCTCACCTTGTAATGCATGAAAGGAATCATACTGGAGAGATACCCTGTGTGCATTAGAGACAGAGAGAGAGACAGAGAGAGAGACAGAGAGAGAGAGACAGAGAGAGACAGAGACAGAGACAGACAGAGAGACAGACAGCAGAGAGAGAGACTGACTCTTTGGCTAATCTTCCCATGGTTTTCCTCCTACTTAATTACCTTGCCTAGCTTTGATATGAGTAATTTTGCCTATTAGTATTTTCACATATTATGTCTTGCTCAGTGGATATCCAGAAGAGGCTTGCTATTTTTTTTTGAAGGGGATGGGAGAGGAGTGGATCTTGTGGCCATGGTAGGTTGGGAAATTTATGGAGAAGTCGAGGGAGGGGAAAACAATCCTGGAATAAAACCTTCAGCCTATAATGTTTCCTCCTTGCAAGATGTGCTGGGTCAGTAGTAGCACACTTGTGGTAGCCAATTAGTGACTGCTTTAATTGGAGGCACATGAAAGAAGAAGGAGGCTGTAACTGACACTGACTGGTTGACCAGAAACTAGAAGCAAGATAAGCCAGAATGATACAATAGAACCAAATATACCTGCCCTCTCCCACAACAAAAATCAGCTTCAATAATGATGTTCTGCTCTATTCATAGTTTGGTGACTATACCAACTGTCGTGAAAAAGTCTGCCTTCAGCAGGGTATGGGAGTAGTATAAATGACCCACACCTAAACACTAGGTATAGAGAAGCCACATTTGCAGTCTCTATTGCTTTTCTTACCTAAGAGCTTGGGGAAACCCAGAGAAGAGGGGGAGAAGGAATTGTGGAAACCAGAAGTGTCAAAGACACAAGGAGAGCATAGGCAACAGAATTATCTTACCTGGATTACTGGGGTTTCCCAGCTATTGAAGCACAATCTTCGAGCCTGTATGGGTCTACACTAGGTACACTACATATATGCTATGGTTGTTGGCTGGTGGTTTTCTTTGTAGGGGTTGTTGAGGAATACTGAGGGTAGGAGTGAAGTTTTCTTGTACTCTTTTACCTGCTCTTAAGACTCCTGCCTTCCTATTAGTTGACCTCTTCAAGGCTTGAAATGAATGTTTGTACATGTTCTCCTTTTATCTAATCTTGATGTTTCATTAATGTGTCTGGTAGACCTACTTTTTCCTGGGGTAGACATAAGACAGTCATGGTTGGGAAGAGGTGAGTTGAGCGGGAGCTAAAAGTGCTAGAAGCAGGGATAGTGCCAGTTAGAATGGATTGTATTAGATAAGAATAAAAAGAATGGAAATGGGTAAAACCTTAGAGATGAAAGGCTTTAAAATTTAGAGCAGATAAAGTTTAGATATGAGAGATTTGAGCATCATTTGTTTGTGCAGGTACAGGAGTGGCTTCCTTAAAGGGAGATAATGTGAAAACCGAGTATGGAGTCCAGAGCCTTTAAGTGAGCTGTGATTAGGCCAAGTGTTTTATCAAAGAAAGTGAGGTTTTAGGATCTTCTGATTCCAAGGAGGAAGAGATAGTCATACCGTGACCACAAGGGCATAAAGGAAGAGACAAAACACCTGTGAGAAGTGGGTGAGGTAAGGGTAGAAATAAAGTTTAAGGTCATCTAAGGAATCTCTTGGGCTTCTAAATGGAGCTGAGAGGGAACAGGTTAGAAAAATAAACGACCTCCAGCCGGGCGGTGGTGGCGCACGCCTTTAATCCCAGCACTTGGGAGGCAGAGGCAGGTGGATTTCTGAGTTCAAGAGTTCGAGGCTAGCCTGGTCTACAGAGTGAGTTCCAGGACAGTCAGAGCTACACAGAGAAACCCTGTCTCGAAAAACCAAAAAAAATAAATAAATAAATAAATAAAAAATAAAAATAAACGACCTCCAGCCCAGTGACAATTCCCGTATCGTAGAAGCCTAGGAGGGCACTGAGAAAATATGGCCCATAGCAGACAATTTGTAGCAAGAGTTGTGGAGCACACGGTTGCAATACTTAGGCCCAGGTGAAGATGAATCGGGTAGCTCTGAGGAAGAGGAGGAGGCGGCAAGGAAATGGTCACTTGTCCAAGAGGGCAGAAGGAAGCTGTAGGGCTGCAGCTCCTAGAAGGAAAGAAGTAAAGCTCCATGAATTAGCTGAGAAAGTGATGTCAGAAATATAAGTGACATGATGTCTAGAATTTATTTCTAGGGGAGCCCCAAGAAGAATAAGAGACTTGTAGGAGAGAAGTGTCACAAGTCACAGAGGAGTGTCGTCTCTATTCATGTTAAATGGGCAGGACTACAAGGGTTCCTGGTACTCCAGTGTGGCTTTGGTAGTACTACTAAGGAAAATAGGAAGTTCTGAATCGACACTTAGTACTAGAGGAGAAGAGACTAGCAGTCAGAACAGGTAGAGGAGAACTCTATTAAAAAGATGGACTGGAAGACACTTCTGTGAAAGAAGAGGTTTCCAACACAGGGAGACAAGTAACTGTCTTACTTGTCCCTTTGTTCGGGACCCTAGAGGGTGTGGCAGGATCCAGAAGCCAGAGAGAGATGTTTGATGTTTTTCCAAGAGGTGAAGCAGGCTTCAGTAACCAGTGAGGTGCTTACAAAAATAAATGACCAGAAATGAATTATTAGAACAGGGGAAGAAGAGTGGCACTCTAGAATTTGGAGTCAAACTTGTTGCCTGGCAGAAGCCAGCAACAGACAAACTTCAGACAAGTCAGATGAGATGGTTCAGAGAGACTGATACTGTATGCTATTCCTGTGGTTTTAGGCATGTTTGAGAAGAATGTTTTATTGAAGGGATGACGGGGTGGGTGGGAGAGCACAACTATGAGTATCTGGAAACATCAAAGCCTCAGCTGTGCAGAATACACTTGGCCTTGAGTTTAGGGGTGAAGGAGTTAAAAAGTAATTGAAGAGGTGGGGGAAAAAGAATGTAGAAACAAGTTCTATGGGGACCCAGGGATTTTTCAGGAAAATAGAAGCTGCGGGTACTGCAGCAAATCTCACTGATAAAAACAAGTTTAGGGAAGTGGTGGCCAGAAGTGCTCAGAAGAGCCCGGATTTTCTTAGAGGTACTAGCAGCCAGTACCTGCTTCTGATATGTTAAATAAGCTAGCCATTTGTACCGAGTTTTTTTGAGATTTTACAAATTACAAGTAAATGAGTAAGTTATCTCACTCTACTTCATGAAGTTTAAGTTAACCAGTCCTATGTTTTTCTCTGTAATTGCTTAAATGATTTTTCTGCTTTTAGTGACAATGCTCTGCTTGTTTGGGAAAATCAGAGTACTGTACTATGTAGTATTATCCTAATTTATCACTGATATTACCTCCTTATACACTACTTCTCAATTCTTTCATCTTAAATTGTTCATGTATTTTTATTTTATATCTATGGGAATTTTGCTTACACGTACATCTGTGAACTTCATGAGAGAGGAGGTTGCAGATCAACTAGAACCAGTGTTGCAGAATGTCATGAGCCACCCTGTGTGAGTGCTGTAACTGATCCAGTTTCCTGTGTAGAAGCAGTAGTTGCTGTTTGTCTCTGAGCCACCACTCCAGAATAATAGAACATACATTGAATAGAAGAATTCCCTTGAAATAGTATAGAATATTGATATTTTTAGATACATGTCCCAACATTGCTTAGATTCACACTGTGCTCTGGGCCCTCCAAAGTTTTTTATTTAGTGATGCAGAATGGGTAAATGAGTCCTATTAATTTCTTGAGGACTTAGAGATCTTACTAGGTTTGTTTTTTAGTTGGAAAAACTATCTGTCATTCATATATGATGAAACTGTTTATCCCTTGTTCTTCAGGAAACAGTGCTTGAATACACTGTTGGTAATACAACTCTGGTATCAATTTTGAAATAAGTCATTTGTACATAGATTTCTTCTTGCAGTACTTTCATTATGTTAATAATGTCAATATTTCTCTCAATATTTGTTTTTCAAAAGATGTCTTATTGTTTTTGTTGGTAAATCTCATTAGTTGGTTTTCAAATTATTTTATTAGGTTCACCTATCTCATTGAAAATATTACTTTTGTTGTCCTGTCTACTTAACTTAGTGTCTCTATGTATTTACATGACAATAAAATAAATCTCTTACAAACTTAGTCCAGTTTGCCATTCATTGAAAATTAAAACAGCCCATGTATCAAATTTCTTAACCATGGAAATACATGTTTTATATTTTTCAAATTAACTCTTCTATTAACTCTCCAAAGTATAACTAAGTCACTATTTG